TCTAAATGCAATTGATTTCGCGTAGCTTTTGATGGGTTTGCACTGGCCACAAATCAAACAATTTCCGTATGCGGGGATTCCCCCTCCTTACTTTCCACAGACCAAAAGAGAGAGAGAGATAGATAGAGAGCTGTTGCATACAAATGCAATTTGTTGCGTTGCGTCGCCTGTTTATTGAATTTATTTATATGCAGTTTGGCTTAGACACTGACTGCCTGATTGATTGATTGATTGACTGACTGACTGGCTGGTTGCTTGCTTGCTTGCTTGGCTGATTGAGTGGCATTTTCCGCAAAGGAAAAAGCAGCGGAAATATGGCGATGACTTGAAAAGCGTAGCACACTTTTACGGGCTCAAGAAGTCAAACATTCCAAAGAGCGGATAAAACAAAGAAGCAAAGAGTTAACTTAACGAAGTTTTGACATTTTAGTTGCTTTGAGGTATACATTTTTGTGGTTTTAAGTTTCAATTTAATTAATTTTTATTCATTTTAAATATATATGATACATATATTCACACAATAAAGAAGTCAATTTTAAGCCCAAAGTTGACCCTGATGAGTTCTAAGTAATTACTAGCCCATAAAATTTGTGTTTCTTTTTTAATGAAAATGTTATGTGTAATCTGCATTGTCAATGTCTTTTGGGATTCGGTTTACCGAAAAAAGTATTCCCTTTTTACTATCTGATTGACTCTCTTCCCAAGAGAGAATGTAAATTTTAGCTTTCCTTGGCTTCTGTACATTTTCCCCTCTTCTTTTTCTTATTTTTGGCCTTGGCCTTAAGTTCTTCTTTTTTTTCTTACGCTTTGTGCCTGGGCTCTTTTTTTTTTTTGGAGTGACAGGAGTGACTTTGTATGGCTTGGTCTTAAAGGATTTTTGTCAGTTTAGTTATTAAAAACTCATTACACACACAAATGCTGAGAAGAGCTAGCACATGTGTGCAGGCACTGAGAGAAAAGGGTTTTAAAAATAAAGATTTTATAGAAAATTTTACAATAAGGATAGTTTTGATGTGTCAAACTTTTATGTAATCTTTAGAGAAACTTGATTTGATTATGAATGCTAAGTTGCACTATTGAAATAATTATATAAAATAGATATAAAAAAGCCCGACAAGTTCTAAAATTCCCAACGACTTCTAGTCGAAAAGTAGGTAAATATACAGTAAACGTGTACTGGCTTTCTCCTGAAATATTAGTATTTCCTTGGCTGAATTCTAGTGTTTTTATGGCTATAAAAATATATTTGTTAAAAACTAAATTGGTAATTGTTAGACAAAATATTTTATAACTAAAAATTTACACACAAATTAATAATAATAATAATAATAATAATAATTAGGATAATAGGAATAATATAAGTCTAGTTCTTTGATTTTATTTGTGCGATCTTTGATCTACTTTTGCAGTGCCTTTTCTCGACTTAGGGTCCTTCTGGGACTATCTCTCATTTCTTCCTCCCCTCTGTCTATCATCCTCTCTCTCTCTCTCACCCTGTTTCTCCTTCTTTTTCTCTGCTTATTGGGCTTTCGCTTCGATTTAGCGCTGACACATTTCGCTGGAGAATGTTTGTTTCTTCGCTTTCTTTCTTTTTCCTTTCATTTTTTTTTGCTCTCTTCCTTTGCTGTTGACTAACGGCACTCTGATGTGTGAGCTTGCTGGTGTCCTTGTGCCATGTGTGTCTGTGTGTGTGTGAGTGTGTGTGTGCCTGTGTCCATGTGTATTTGCCTTACAATTCCCCAAATTGTAATTTTATAGCAGCGTCATTGCCCAAAATGCTCAAATAGACTTTTGCCTTTTGGTCCTTTTTTCAGTTGCTTTTTTTCTTGTGTCCTACCCCTTCTCCAAGTCCATCCTTGTGTGCTTTCATATCCTTGGATATTTTCTTTTTCCCTTCTTTTTTTTTCTTGGACCAACACTTGAGAAACTTTTGGCCGCCTTCTCGCAGCTATTCTCAAGTTGATTCCATTTGATTCCTATTCTCGACTGGTAGTTTCCAGTTTCGCTTCTAACTCGGCTCAATTCGATTTTGTCTGCAAACTGAATGAAGTGAATTGCATTGCCATTGGCCACGTTTGGTCCTGTCTGCTACCCTGTAAGTGCCCCTTGGGGGATTTTGTGCTAAAAGGGGTGAAATGGAGTATCTGTTAATTATTTGTGATACTATATTGCAGGACCAGGATTATCTTTCATAGAAATTGAGATAAGGAATGATGCAAGATATCCTTGATTTTCTCAACTAAATTTTAGGGTAACTATAAAAAGATTTACTGGTATATTTAATGAAGAAGCACCCCTAGAATTAACTTTTACAATGTCAAAGTTCAATTCCCGGAAAAGGTTTCTAATTTCAGCAAAGCTACCTATCCTGGCATTATTATATCAATGAGAAGTAGAGGGTATCAGGAGACTAAACCCAAGCTAAACACCTTCTTTCCACCTTTCTCCTCCCCTTAAGACCCCGGCCCTCCTTGAGCTCTTTGGCAAAGCGTTGATGGGACAGGCGATGGGTTTTGGTGTTGGGTTTTGGGATTGGGGATTGGGGATTGGGATTGGGGATGGAGATGGCTTGATGACCGGATTTTGGGCCTCCGGCCATCCGTCTCCGGCGACCGTCCTGTGATGTGCACTCAATCCTGTTGCATCCTGGGCCAGTTAGGCGAATGGCATATTTTATTCAGAGTTTCATTTAGTCGAACCGTTCCATCGTGCCACCGCCCTGCCGCTGGCCTCCCCCAGGTCACATGTAATTTTTGTTTAGCCATTCCAATTGCAATTCCATTCCGCCAGGGGAGTTTCCCAAGCCCATATAAATCAACTTTAATTTAAATGCCGACTGGCTGCCTCACTGGCTCACTGGCTGTCTGCAATGAAATCGGAATGAGCTGTGGAGAGCTTCCACTTTGAGAGGTCTTGCCATATCCATATCCTTTCTCTGCAACTTCTCTCGGGATGCTCAAACAAATGAAGCCAACTGTGGCCAGGAGAATGTGTCCTTTGTGCTCCGTGCTCCGTGCTCCGTGCTCCGTGCTCCTGCCTCCATCTACTCTACTCTGCCTCCCTTTATGACGATGAGGAGAAGGAACTCGGTCGGGCCAGCATGCGATTAAATCGCTTTGTGCGGTCTTTTTCAGTGGCGGGGGATTAAACATGGGGGAGAGGGATGAAAACTTATAATTGATGGATTACTGACAAAAAATTGGCCAGTTAAGCCCTTATGTACTGAATATTTAAATAGGATTAATCGATTTAATCGATTTAATCGATTTGAGATGATTTTCATTAACCATAGATCAGATGTGTTGCTGTTTAAATTATTCAAAAGCGAGATAATGTATTTAATTTGTAAATTCAATGATTTAAATATAAAGAACAATATTTTTGGGTAATATAAAATGTAAAAAGGAGTATATAGTAATCTGATACTCCGTAAATGGTGAAATATATATTTAACAAGAAACGAAGCTTCATTTCATTCACCGTTTTGCATTTTTCTCTATTTTTAACGATCGTTTGTATGACAGCTATATGTTATAGTAGTCCGAATTTTAGGAAATTTTACGAATAATTCTATATCAATATATATTAGCTATATATTAAATTTGATGAAAATCTGTTAAAAAATGCAAAAGTTATAATTTTTGAATTTAAAGCTTTCCGATCGTTCCTATAGCAGCTATATATATGTATATATATAGTCCACCGATTCGCCATGCTCCGATTTATATACTATTAAAATTATATAGAAGAATAACTCTATAGTTTCTTAAATTTGTTCAAAAACAAATCTCTCACATCTGTGCATATGATTCCCAAATGGTTCTAACCTCCCCGGAACGAAGTGGCTTCTGCCGGCCACGTCTCAGAAATGTGTTGTGTTAAAAAAGTTGCAACTCATTGTTTACAAGTGTTCAAAGTTTGTAAAGTTAGTATCATACATACTTACTGGTCATATATATTTACTGATCATAGTTACATGCTGATCATAGTTAATTAGTGGTCATACTTATTTACTGTTCAGAGTTACTCACTGCTCATAGTTACTTTCTCTTCAGAGTTACTTACGGCTCATAGTTAATTACTGATCATAGTTCTATAAATCGTCCGATTGTTCCTATGGCAGCTATATATATGTATATATATAGTCCACCGATTCGCCATGCTCCGATTTATGTACTAGTAAAATTATATTAAAGAATAACTCAATAGTTTTATTCAAATGCTCTTAAATTTGTTCCAAATCACATCTCGCACGTCTATGCATATGATTCCCAACTAGTTCTAACATCCCCGGAATGAAGTGACTTCTGCCGGCCACGTCTCAGATATGTGTTGTGTTAAAAAAGTTGCAAGTCATTGTTTACAAGTGTTCAAAGTTAGTAAAGTTAGTATCATACATACTTACTGGTCATAGATATTTACTGATCATAGTTACTTGGTGTTCAGAGTTACTTACTGGTCATAGATCGATATTTGGCGTAAGAGTTTATATATAAATCTATATTTTAAAGTTTTGATGTGAATATGTGCTATAAATCAATTTGATCTGTTTGATGTATCTGTCAATATAATTGGAAAGTGTAAAAAATTAATAAAGGAACATATAGTAAACGATAATTTGTTAGTTTTTAATATTCTCATAATATCGGCATTGTACTATTTTTCGAAGGTATAATAGTAGTGATCTATAACTTTAAATGCAGAATTTTTCGAAACGTACAGTTTCCATTTATTAAAGTTTAAGATATTTTTAGACATTGATTATATATTAAACTTCTCCCGATAACCCTATGGCTTAACCTTTGTGCCACGTCACTGGCCATTTCTGGTTCCCTTTGTCAATGGAAATCAAATAAGGCCGCCATGCGTTTTAATGATATGTACGAGATACCCTTAACTACCATCCTCTACCTTCAGTTTTTGCACTCTCCAAGGGATATTTATTAAAGAATTTCCCCAGTACTCACATACTCACTCTTTCTCTCTTTATGTCTTTACAGGATACCCGCAGCCCACATATCGATGGCTAAAGGATGGCGTCCCCGTGGGCGACTTCTCGTCCAGCCAGTTCTATCGCTTCCACAGCACCCGGCGTGAGGATGCGGGTAGCTATCAGTGCATTGCCAAGAACGATGCCGGATCCATATTCAGTGAGAAGAGCGATGTTGTTGTGGCCTGTAAGTATAAATACTTACATATATGTACATATAAACCCAATTCATTCGACGAGAAAAGTTGGTTAAGATTGGGGTTAGTTGGGAGAGAGAAATTCGAGACACTCCTGGGAGAAGTTGGAGCGTCAGCTTGAGTTACCAATTAAGTTGCAAATGCTGGAAAGTCATTGATGGCTTATTGAAACTTACTTGGTCTCATTAACTACCCAATTATCTATAGTTTAGACTTTATTTATAGGTAATTCAAGTTGAAGTCTAAGTACCTTGCAAGTAATGTGATATTAAAAATTCAAACATTGTCCCGTGAGCGTGAGGGATTCTAGGTGAAGGAGTACTAATCAAGCGCCCAAGGACCCGTACGCCATCAATGTTTAGCTGCTAATTTTTCTTTAATGCGAACTTAATTACAACGAGAGCGGAACGGAGGCAACGCAGGAGGGGGGTTAAGTGTGGCGTGTGGTGGGTGGGTGGTAGGGGGTTAAGGGTCACCGGGTTTTAGGTGTGGATGTAACGAACAATTAGACAAGTAAGTGTGAGTGACACTTGAGCTGGCTCGCTCGCTCGCTCGCTCTGAATTACCCCTCAACTACTTGAACCTAATAAATCGAGCGGGTAGGCCCTCGACATGGAAGCCACCCGAAGCCCCGACCCCGATCCCAGGCATACCCATCCATCCATCCATTCATGGTGACCTTCTTTTCGGTGGGGATCTCCCACTCTATCTCTCCCCCAGGAGGAGGTGAGAGATGAGACTGACTGACTGACTCGATGACTCGTCGACGGGTTGACTTGGAGCAGCGGCATCGTCTTGAGCACTTAATTAATTGTAGGACCGAGACCAAGTGCCTAAACTGAACTAATAACCTTTAAAGCTCAGTTGGATAGCAGCACTATGTACGCACATAAGGGGGGGTGGTGGTGGTGGTGGTAATGGGGAATGGAGGTCAGAGATGAGCGAGGTTAAATTGACTTGCCCGCAGGCCGTTCAACGCGTTGCCTTCAATTCAATTAGCGAATGACACCACAGGAAGATAGAGCTCTCTTAGAGATCCAAATTCTATAAAATTAAATAAATTTAATTAATAATTTCTACTTGCTTTACAGACATGGGCATCTTTGAGAATACCACCGAGGGTCGCCTTACCGTGACCAGTGGACACCCGGCCATTTTTGATATGCCTGCCATTGACTCGGTGCCGGTGCCATCGGTGATGTGGCAATCGGAGGACGGTCCCTTGAACTATGACATCAAGTATGCCTTCACCCAGGCCAATCAGTTGATTATCCTGAGTGCCGACGAGAATGACCGAAGGGGCTACAGGGCCAAGGCGATCAACACGCAGCTGGGCAAGGAGGAGAGCAGCGCCTTTGTCCATTTGAATGTCAGCGGAGATCCGTACATTGAGGTGGCACCGGAGATTATTGTCCGGCCGCAGGATATCAAGGTGAAGCTTGGCACCGGCGTTGTCGAACTACAGTGCATTGCCAATGCCCGTCCTTTGCACGAATTGGAAACATTGTGGCTCAAGGATGGTTTGGCCGTGGAAACGGCCGGCGTAAGGCACACCCTCAACGATCCCTGGAATCGCACATTGGCCCTGCTCCAGGTGAATAGCTCTCATTCCGGGGAGTACACCTGCCAGGTGCGATTGCGCAGCGGTGGCTATCCGGCTGTCACGGCCACAGCTCGTCTTCAGATCCTGGAACCACCTGTGTTCTTTACACCCATGCGAGCAGAGACCTTCGGGGAGTTCGGGGGACAGGTGCAGCTTCCCTGCGATGTGGTGGGTGAGCCCACGCCCCAGGTCAAGTGGTTTAGGAATGCCGAGTCCGTGGATCCGCATATCGAGAGCGGCAGGTGAGTGGAGAAGCGGGCAGGAGAGGTGGAATAAAGCCAAGGATTAAACGGAAAACTCTTTACACTTTTGTAGATACTCACTGAGCACGGATAATACGCTGGTAATTAAGAAACTAATCCTGGATGATGCCGCCATGTTCCAGTGCCTGGCCACCAACGAAGCCGGCGAGAACTCAGCCAGCACTTGGCTAAGAGTGAAAAGTAAGTCAAGAGCCGATTTCCTTTTATGACTAGGTGACACTGGGGAAAATTAGCTGTAAAATGAGGGTACAGGAAAAGTATAAACTGAAGAGAGAGATTTAAATTTGAGTCATTTTTGAAAGTATTTAAGCTAAAGCTAAAATTTAAATTGAATTATGGGCTAATCATAAATATTAGTAGGCTTCCTCCATAACCTTTTTCATATATCATTAAAAAACCTTTTGCTAGTGTCCAGTGTCACTTGGTCAGAATGAAAGAACTGAAAGAACTTTAAGCAAATCGAATGTTATATACTAATATGCTAAAGAAGAAGAGCTATTTCCCCTGATATATATATTGATATAATCCTTTCTCTACCTTTTACTGCCAAACTTATATATATACCATTAACCATTTTGCATTTTGCATTTTGCCTTTTTACCCCCTTTTTTAACCTTCCTAAAAAAGAACAATATATTAACAATAACGAATTCATAGCTAACGAGGCCAAGAACCGCGTGAAGCGCTTGGCCCAGCCACGTATCCTGAGGGTAAGAGCTTCGCATGCTGGCATGGGATCGGAAAAGGGATCGGGAACGGGATCGGAAAAGGGATCGGGAACGGGATCAGGTTCCTCCTCTGGTAGACGCAAGGAGTTTCGCTTTGGTATGGGCATCGCCATTAAGCAGAACACAAAACTCACACACTTTTGCACTATTTAAATAATAGAATATAATATAATATATAGAGTTAGTTATTGCACTGCACTTTAAGTTGTGACACTCAAGAAAACAACACTTTTTACTCCTTACAATGTAGTGGAAAATAGCCATTTTCCTTTTGATTGTTTTGCGATTGAATTTGTCGTTTTATTGGCTTTGGCTCGCTTTTATTTTACTGACCCTCTCCCCCTCGAGCTCTTAGCTCTAAGCTTAGATATTATCTTGCTTCTTTTGTTTTTCTGCTCCTAAACTTGCTTTTCCTATTTCCTATTTCCCCCCCGTTTAGTTCCATTCTTAATTTGTTTTTCACCCTTCGGCAGCTGCTGGAATTTTCTCTTAGTATTCTCCTAGTCTCTCTAGTATCTCTTTTAGTCTCTTGGCATTCTCTTTTTTCTCTCCATTCTCGGGTCTCAAGATTGGCTTTATCAAATTTGTCAAAAGCAGAAGAATTTTTCATTCAAGTTGATTAGTCCGGCGGCACGCACCCTTCCTGCCAGCCTTCTAGCCGGATTTTCCTACCCCTACCTACTCCTTAGTGGAAAACAAGGCTAATATAATTGAGTCCCCAAAGTTTTGATATGCATAAAGGGAAGCATTTTGTATTTTTCTTTGCGCAGTTAACTCAATTTGTATTTAACTGTTGTGCACAGTGAGCTATGAACGTTATTCTCAAAAAATAAAATACCAAAGAAAGAACATAAACAAAGCTAACAAGGGTAAAGGATTTTTCCTAGAAAAAAAAAGGAATATTGTGTAAATCTTTGTTTATTTGAAGCTTGAAGATGAGCTTTATAATAATTATTGAATCCTTTAATTTTGTTCATTTCAAAACTCTTTTGAAAATATGTCGCAGCAGCAAGTGCAAACTTTGAGAACCCCCGAAGTACTATTAAGTGTTACGGAAAATGGCCACCTCAGGCCACCCCAGGGTTGTCTTTTCCAGGGAAACTCACCCATATTTTCATCTCTATATATGTATGACAACTTGCTTTGGGACAATTTTGCATTTTAATGAATTTCATAATGCGAAAATTAAGACTGAGACACACACAAGTCACACAAGTCACACTTCTTATGCTGTCATGCTGACATGACATCGTAGGGTTGTCCAGGATATGTCCCCTTTTCCTCCTGCCCAACAGTGTCCTGTCTCTGGTCTCCTCTTTCCCTTTTGAGTGTAGCCTAAGTTGGAAGTTCCGTGCTTTTGGCCCAAGCATAATAATTGGCCATTCATGAGCCTAACCCAAAAAAGCGAGTGACTCCGCTGACGTTTTAAATATTTGACAGACAGAGTTGAGTCAAAGTGAAGTAAAGTGAAAGGAGAAAGGAGAAAGGAAGGTGCCTTGGCAAAAGGACATATTGTTTTGCGGGTCTAAAATAAGTTTCCTCTGTCTCTCTCTCTGTGTCTTCCTTGATGGGACTTTAAGCAAAGTTTTGTGCCACCACCACGCTTAAATTTTTATGGCCAGTTCAGGCGGTGCTCCTTCCTCTGTCTCTCTGTGAAGCACAGATTTTCATGTAAATTTCAAATTTCTATGCATATTTCGTTGAGTTATTCTTATGTTGGCTCGCTGCATCGTCATCTCATCATCCATTTCCATCTATTTTTATACCAGTCTTTAGCCCCAGCTGCATTGTATGCGTGCTAAACTAGTTAAAAGATTTTGTCGGCGGTTTATTGAAAAACTTTTTAGCTTTATAGTTAACTTGGCCAAGTTCCCACTGGCACTGATACACTTGGTTTTATACATATTCTTCTTTAGTTGCGCCCTCGCCAGGATTTTCTTTCTTTTCTTTTTTTTTTTGGCATGAGTGACTGGTAACCAATCGTTGCGGCTCATTTAATTTTATTTGCCTAGGCTAATTCGAGTCAATTTGTTTGTCTGCGCCAGCGCATTTTACGATTGTGATTCTGAAGCCATCATTTAGCCTCTCCAAAAGAGTCGTCGTCCTTAGTCGTAGTCGGTATCTCTGGGATAAGTTTTATTGCTGGCACAAGTTTCTGTTTCTGTTTCTGGTTCAGTTTATGTTGTCTGACTGCATTTAGTCTGGGTATCCGTAGGAAGGAGTTGGCCTAATCGGCTTTGTTTTGCGTCTGTGTGTGCCATGTCCTGGTACTCTTTTAAACTTGAACTCTAACCGTATGCAGTAAGCCTGGTGAGTCCTGGACCCTGGAACCCTAATTGGTCTCTGCCAAGATTATCCAGATCAGGATCAGAATCGGATTATGAACACCTTTGGTCGCTTTTGCTTTTTGACCCCGACTCGGACTCCGACTCCGTCCCTGATTCGATTAGCATCATCAGTAAAACCCGGACATCCGGTCCAACACTTTCAGTGCCTTACACTTTACACTGAAGAAAAGGTTGCCTTTTTAGAGTATAAAAATACATTCAAGAAGAGAAGGACGATAATTGGCTTTAACCCCTTGAAATAATATGGTCAGCTAATTAGCACTTGAAAACAGTCTTTGGTCAGTCAGTCTCTTCTACTTATCATTTTAGTAAGTTGATGCCTTGCCATTGTCTTCAAGTGGAGGTTTACGCTGCAAGGAAGTCAGCTAATTGGATTAATTTGTGGTTGCCTTTAAAGTTGAATTAATAATCTAGCTTGAGCATTCCTCAGGGCTATACTGGTTCACCCTAATTTGTACTGCCTTCCTCCGCGCTTCTCATGTTGAGTACTTAAGCTATAGCTTGAGCATTCCTTTGGGCTATACTGGTTCACCCTAATATTTAGAGCCTTCCTCCGCGATTCTCATGTTGGGTACTTAAGACGGTGGGTTTACGTGTAATAAAATTTTTGAAAAAATAAATTTCTATATATAGTAAATAAATTACACTGAAGAAAAGGTTGCTCTTGTTAGAGTATAAAATACAGGACGATAATTGGCTTAAACCCCTTAAAACTGTCTTTGGTCAGTCAGTTTATTCTACTTATCGCTTTAGTAAGTTGATGCCTTGCCATTGTCTTCAAGTGGAGGTTTACGCTGCAAGGAAGACAGCTAATTGGATTAATTTGTGGTTGCCTTTAAAGTTGAATTAATAATGTAGCTTGAGCATTCCTCAGGGCTATACTGGTTCACCCTAATTTGTACTGCCTTTCTCCGCGCTTCTCATGTTGAGTACTTAAGACGGTGGGTTTACGTGTAATAAAATTTTTGAAAAAATAATTTTCTATTTATAATTAGTAAATTGTCTGTATAAAAATAGTTTTTTGCTTAGTGTGCCCAGCCTGGACAAGGTGCCCTTCTAGCCGCTTCTCAAGTCCTGGGCCACTTGGGACTTGCTTGATTTCATTTTGCAATTTCTTTCGTTTATTGTTTGTGCGCTCGTTCATCTCCAGGTGAGGCTGCTTCTAGTCCTGCTGCTGCTTCTCCTCCTGCTCATCCTGCTCATCCTACGGCTCCTGCTGCTCCACCTGCACATCCCTACACCTTACTATGGCAACAAGTGTTTGGCATTTGTAATGCTGATTCTCCGCCGGCGACCTTATCACCCCTTCTTCATTCTCCATTTTCCGCTTGGAAGGCCACTTGAAGGATAATCCTTGTGCCGGAGCACTTTTCACTTAGATAGGCGAAGTAGAAGTTGAGCTGGGAAAATTATTTTCCAGCTTTTCGCGTCGACTTTAGTGGGTTGCGATTTGCGACTGGCTGCAACCTGGCTGCATTTTAATTGCAATGCCTCCGACTTCGTCTCGCAATGTTTGTCAAAGTTTTGCATCTTTCCCTGTTGGCCTTTTTCTTGGAGCGCCTTTTGGAGCGCCTTTTGGAGCTCTTCATTTTTGTTAAGTTGGCGTAAATCTGCGTTTACTCCCACCAGAGCAGCACCTGCCACAGTCAGAGGAGTACTGCTGCTGCTGTGCATTTTCCGGCTGCCTGAGCATTTCCCTCGAAAACTCAACTTGAGTAACATAATTTCGTAATTTCCCGAAACGCAAAAGTGATTTTAATCGTCGTTTCCTGGGGAAGGAAGCCGAAAGGGGAAGCCCAGGTGCCCGCACTTAGCACCACCTACAAAGAGTATATATATATATATATGTGTGTGTGTGTGTGAGTAATTAGGTGACTTTGGGGGCGAGTGGGCGTGGCCAAATTCACTTGCCTTCCTTCCTTTCCATTTCCTTTTTGCCTGAAGACTCAATGTGCCGCCATTTCCACTTTGCGAATTTCCCTCTGTGTGTATGTGTGTGGAAAGTTTTGGCTCTGTAAGTAAGTGAGCCAACAGGTGGGCTGCGGAGTGGGAGGCGGACGGAGGTCAGAGGTCACCTAAGCTTAACCCCACAATGCCCACGGTGATTGATTGCAGCGCATAGTTTAACCAAACGCGAACGTCCTTGGAGTTTCGAGTTGATTGGTCAGCGACATGCCATCTCTCCTGGTTAAAGAAATAAACTCTTCAAAGAAATTGTATAGATTTTTCTTTAAATATTTTCAGTAGTTTCAAGTTGGAAAAGTATGCCATATAAATCTTTCTAAATAGAAGCAATAAAAGTTGCATTTCTTGGGTTCTTTCTTCATTTGATTCTTCAAGTTAGATCTCAACAATTTTCTACCTCTAAAAATCAGAGTTTTACATATTTGTTTGTTATATTTCCTATAAATATTTGACCCAAAAATGTGTTTCTTTGGTCAAGTAAAGCTTGGCCCGATTAGTCTTACAAATGCCGAATTTTCCAGCACTCTTTGTTTCTATTAAAAAATGCTCCTGCAACAGCAGCAGCTCAAAGGCCTTGGCCAGGAAGTAGCCTGAGAAAAGCGGCGCTCTTTCTTTATGCTTATTGTAAGGAAATAAGGAATTGTTAGGAAAAAGAGCCAAGAAGGGGGGAAGAAACTGAAACGAAAAACCGTTTAAGAAGGCAAAAGTTGAGGAAAAGTGGAGGGAAATTTAGAGCCCGACACACGACGGTTAAAAACAATTCGCATGCAAATGTTGAACTCCTCTGAAACGGCCAATAATGGCAATTATTGCCATCGCACGCCATTGGCCCCTCCCCCAACCACCACGGGGGGAAAGTGGAAAATGTAAAGGAGCTCAGCGAGGGGGGGGGGGGAAATGGAGGCTTTTCCTTCCCCCCCCCATTGGCTGAGCGAGCGTTTTATTATGACTTTAAGTTGATGGCGCGCGGCCTCTTTAGTGGGTCAACTTGAAATTAATTACGGCCCAACGAAGGCAAAAGGCACATTGACAGAAAAATATCATAAGAAAGCTAATTTATATAAGTTTTTTTTTTTTTAGATGTTTATAATATTTGTTATTATAATCTATAAATTATGAAATGTTGTTTACACTCAGGTTGTGAAATCTTTAGCAAAGTGCACACACTGCGTATACTTGATGGACATTACGTATACGCCGTGTGGAGTTTAGGCATAAAATTTGTTCCCTCATCCATGGCGTATACTTAATATGAATATAACGTATACGCCACCTTCTGCATAGATGCAAGTTTTCATTTACCAGGCTTTGGTCTCTCGGTTCTTTTTTTTTGGGGATTTTCTTGGTTTTAGGTCTCCCTGGTGAAATCCAGCCACAAATTGTTTCCCCCGTCCCCCGTTCGTGTCTTTAATATGCGCCTTGCGTGAGCCATAAAAAAAGGAAAACCGGGCCAAAGGAGCCTAGGAAAAGGCAGCTACTGACCGCTGACCACCAGCTTAAGCACACTTAACACGTTTGCGAAAGAAGGAGTTATCCCTGCATATATATATATATATATATATATATATATATAAATGTATTTCTTGGCCTCTTAAATTTTTCATACCTTTTTTGGCGACGACGGGACTGGAATTAAGCCCCGAAAGTGGTGTAATATCGCAGCCTGGCTTAATTGTCCTTTAAGTGTATATCGCAAAAATAAAGTTACTGCTAGACTTAATCATATTTAAATCCGGACTTAAAGTTTGCCTTCGCTGTGGAAAGTATCACTGGATTTTTGCCCTTTTTTTCATATATGTATATATTTTCCTTTATTTATTTTTTCCCCACTGCCCGTATCAAGCAGAGAGTTGATGTCTTTATGATTTCCACAACAATTGCAATTGCAACGTACACACACACACAACTTACACACACACACAACTCGCACTTAATATCTTAATGTTGCAAGGAGCTGGGAAACTGGCAAAAAGGGTGGAGATGGCAATGTAAAAGGACGAATGGGTCTTTTATTGTAATTTTATGCACTTATTTACATAAGCGTAGTTAACGGGAATGCTTCATCATGCGAAATTATTACGAATATTATTACATTTACGCCACAGTAGGAAAAACACACAGCGGAAAAGCTGCCTCTCTCAGTTACAATCTTACAGTCTTCTAGGGGTTATGACATTTACAGAGTGAGGAGTGTGATGGAAAATATTTATAAAATGGTATTTATAGGGAAATTATATTCATTTTCCATTTTTAAGTAGTTTTTCCTAACTTTTTTCTATGTTTTATAGACAGAAATTCATGGTAATATTAAATATTTTCTATTATTATGGAAATTAGATTTAAATAATATTTGTAAAGTAATTTTTGGGAGCAGTTTAGCCAAAGAAACTTTGAATATTTTGAGTACTATTTGATAAAATATAATAGGAGTAAGTTTTATGTACTCAAATCGAAGAAAATCTTTAATATTATGACTTGACAATATTTTTAGAGTCATGTTAGGCCATATTTTAATCACAAAAGTATTGAATATTTTGATGACAACCTTTTATTCAAACTCTAAGCCATGTAAAGTTAATTTAAATTGATTTGAACTCATCACCCATATATAATATATTTTTGTTTTGGTTTTTATGTTGGCTAAAGTGTCAAGGCCCCGTTAAAACGCGTGGCATTTGGCCATAACAATGAAAGCCAAAGGCAGCAGTATCGTTGTCGTCGTTGATATCGCGACTGAAAACAAGCAACAGAAGCAGAAACAGAGGCAGAAACAGCCATCGTGCCACTCAAAATCCAATAAATAATTCACATTTACCAGCACAGGAGGAAGAGAGCTGTGGAATCGGCCAGATATATACGTATATATACTCAGAGTATATGTATATGCCAACAAGCACCTGCTGCAGAGCCTCAGTATGATTAATTGGCCAGCCTTTAATTTGGTGTAATCATAATTGCAAAAGTCAGCATACAATGAAAACAGAAAGAAATGAGTACTGAGAACCGAGACAATGGGGTTGAGTTAATCAAGGACAACAGAGTGTAAAAAAAGGGAATCAATTACAGGGAATTTAAAGGAATCAGCAGCAGTGAAGAGAAGTGATTAAGGAATTATCAATCGTTACGCAAATAATTTAATTAAATTGTGGCCACTCCCATGGGGTTCGATTTCGGATTGCTGTTGCTGAAATTAAATCAAAGCTTAAATGCCATTCTCTCTCGGGAGAACCCAAAAAAATGATAGGAATAACATGTAAAAGTTTGTAACAATAATTCCGAATGAAAGCATAAAATCCCTAGAAATAAATAAAAAACAATCATACGCTTTACATATTTGATATCTCCATTTTTCTTCTGTTTTTTCGACACAAATAATTGTCACATATTTATCATGTTTTTAGTGTTGTGAATTATTTAAAAAGGTATTCTTTCAGCACTAGACTTACACATGTAAATGTATAAATATTCAACACACAACAGCACAATATATTGATTTTGTTTATTTCAGCTTCACAGTTTATTTGAACTTAGATATACCTTCACTTACACCCCCCTATTTTTTTAATCTAACCACTAATTGAGTTAAATTTTAGCCTAAAATGTACAAGAACCTGTATTAGTAATTCCCATTTGTTAATTATAATATCTAATTGTAATTTCTTTGTGGTTTCTACAGCCTCGGCTCCTGTGTTGGAACAACCCCCCCAGAATGTCACAGCCTTGGATGGCAAGGATGCCACCATATCCTGCCGGGCTGTGGGCTCCCCGAATCCCAATATAACCTGGATATACAATGGTGAGTTTATTGAGCAGACCTTTAAGCATGATATTATTAATTAATGATTATAATAATGCTAATACCAATGTCGTTCTCTTTCTTCGTTTTGCTCGCTAACTACTCGTAATGCTAACCACATCGAAAACTGCTTGTTTCCGTATCCGTATCCGTATCCGCATCGTGCACCAAACCAAAAATAACAATTCAAAAAACCAAAACCCAACCTTATCCTGGAATCCGGAGAAACAGAGACCCAACTGGTGGAGATATCCAGCCGGGTGCAGATACTCGAATCGGGTGATTTGCTCATCTCGAATATTCGATCCTCGGACGCCGGTCTCTACATTTGTGTGAGGGCCAACGAGGCGGGCAGCGTCAAGGGCGAGGCCTATCTGAGTGTCCTAGGTAAGTGTGTCCTTTCCCCCGCTCACCTCTCTTAACTCTTAACCCAAACCCCAAAAGCAAACCCGCTTCAAGTTTTCTAACCCACCGAAAAAAAAAGGAAAACAGAGGGAAAACCTGTAATTGCCTGCGCTCGCGTCTGTTAGTTTCAAGTGCGTCTGTCTAGTCGGCCGCTTTGAGTGTTTTAGCGTTTAGTTAGTTAACGTGGCTAACGAGGGTTGTGCGCCCTTCTCGCTGCCAACTGTTTTAGCTCGTTTTTTTATGCACCATTTTCGACCCTTTTTTACTAGACTGCATTTTAGACTAGAGACTAGAGGGGGAGGTGACCCGCAGCTTTTCACTCGTATTAATAAACATTTAAATGGCTTTAAGCGTATGCCAAGCATGTACATTTTTTTTTTTGTCCCCTCATTGCTTGTTTAATTTAAAGGGTTTTACAAAATGTTGTAGTGGCTAATTGAATGAAATTAAGTTTTATAAGTATTTTAGGTACTTGAAATCTCTTAGAACGAAAAAGAAGCTAATGTTTGGTTATCCTGGCAGTTTCGATTAATCAGAACTAAGGAAAAAATGCATTGATTTCAATTTAAAAAATGGTCTATCCTAGTTTTTATTAGATTAATAAATCTGCATACTCAATTTAAAATGTTGAAAAATTAAAATTTTATTCGAATTTTTGAAAATTTTGACGATGTAACCCCTTATAAACTTTTGAACAAATTTAATCTTTGTTGGACATACCTAGATCGATTCGCCTTTTGATGCTGATCAAGAATATATATGGTTTATAGGGCCGGAAATGACTATTTCACAGTTTTTGAGGCTTCTGACTAAAATTATATTACCATTTTTTAACCGATATTTATCGATATTTTTATATGCAATTTTTTCGACTCATCAAAGTTTAAAAAACTCATAACTAAGCCAACAATGCATTAATTTCAATTCGGAAAATTTTGCTATGTTAGTTTTTTATAGGTTAATAAATCTGCATACTCAGTTAAAAATAATAAAAAATTCGATTTTTTATCAAATTTTAACGATGTTACGCCTTAAAAAATTTTCAAAATTAAAAAAAAAATTAAATTTTGACCAGACATAACCAGATCGACTCAGTTTTTTGTGCTGATCAAGAATATATATATATCTTTTATGACTCCTTCACTGCTTTGCAGCCTCCTAACTTAAATTAGAATACCCTGCAAGGATATAAATATGCTTAAAAGTATGCTACAATATTTTGCATCTAATCCATGCTTTTTGTTGTTTTAAAAAGTGAATTTAACTTTACTGATAACAACATATAACATCTTACATCTTAGTAAATCATTTTCTTAGTAACTTATAAACTATTTTGATTAGAAATAAATCCAAAATTAAATATGCAATGATGTCTTGAATTAAAGCAAAGCCTTGGTTTATTCTTTGACAGCTTTTGAAGTAATTCCAAGTCTCTGTCCCTCTCTTATGTATGTTTTTTGTTTAGCAAAGTAAAAAGACATATAAAATACTTGGCAATATCTTAAAAATATGCCGCAAGGCATTCTCGTTTTATAGAATTAAACCTTTTCCCCAACTGCCCTCTCGCTGCGAGCATTTCACTTGCGGCAAATAATTCTTTATTTCTTTATACTTTTGGTCCTTTTTTGGCAGTGCTCCTATATCTGGCCTCGCCGCCCCCGCATCAATTGTTCAATCGCAGGCTTTGATGTTGGCACATCCTGCCAGCGACTGTTACTGAAATGCTGTCAGCAGTTTTCATTGGTTTTCCCCCGCCGACCACCGAGAAAACTTCTGTGTAACCACAAAAGAGATTTAAATTGAGTTTACTTACCAAAAATGCTCCCTATTAGACAGACAGTTCAGTTTTGTTGTTTGTGCACCTGTTTTTCCTGCAGAGATCATCTCAACTCTTTCAAGCGTGTTTAAGGCTCGATGGCACCGAATCATTGCCAATGACATTTTAAGTGCACGCAAAAAAATTGGGATTAACTTCTGATTATATTGGGGAAAAATTCTCATTACGAAATGCTTCGTTTTTAGTAGCTTTTAGAGGGTTTTTATAGGCATATTTGGGATGTATATAGGAGAGGAAAAGTCCGATCGATCTTAATAATATGTTGAAGAAACATACATTTAAAATATTGATCAAGTCAATAAAATGCCCCAATAAATGTTATTTCACTTCTCTATATATATTTTTCCCTATATAAACAATATCTATGTTAAATTTCTTAATAATTTGTAGACATTTGAAGACATTTTCAATATATTCTTAGACCAAAACAAGCATAAATGCATTTAAGAAAATACTTAGAAATTGTGTTAAACACAATCAATGTATTTTATTTTTCACTGTGTATTATCTGGTTGTTATTTGTGCGTTAGTGTTTGGCCCCAAACGTCGCATCAAATCAACTAAAATGCATGGTCCAATAATAATAATGTGTGTCATCAAAGCCGCAGTGGCCGCAACAGGACAACAGGACATGACAGAGCCCGGCCAGAGCCAGTGGCAAGCCAGGATGAGTTCCATTTTGGAGTGCTCCCTCATGGGCAACAGCAGCGTCAATTGCTTTTGTGATAATACAAAAATCCAGCACATACATTTCCACACACACACACACACACACACACACATGTCTCTTAGGTTATATTTGGGGCTTTGACTTTTTCCGAGCTGTGGAAAAACATGGTCGAAAAACCGGAAAATCCGAAAGCTTCAAATGATTTTTTAAGGGTTTTTGTTGATGCCTCTGCCTCCGTCATTGCCATTGTGTTGTTTGTGTAATTAAAGTTGATTTGCACATGCAATATTTTTCGGCCCTGACTGGGTGTGTGTGTGTGTCCTGTGTGTGTGTCCTGTGTGTGTATTTTGTATGTGCGGGGTCCTAAAAGGCAGCATCAATGTGCGGCTAATTGGCAAAACGCTCAGGAACGTGGAATGCTGCGGCCCGCGGACTACGGACTCCACACCATTCCGGGGAGTCCGGGGACTTTGGCCACCAAAATGATGGCAGTTTTCCATCACCCTTAACCCATCAGGACCGCGGCAAAGCCCCTATGCTCCCTACCTCTGCGAACTCCCTACCCTGCCTGCCTTATTTGTGTTTGTTGCATAAAACACAGGGCCCAAGACCGACAAAGAAATACAAAAAAAAAAGAGGAACAGGAACGTAGACAGAATGAAGCCTAAGTAACGAAGTAGGAAATACCCTCTAAAGTTTCTAGAAGAAATCTAAAGTTTAGTTGATAAAAGATAAGGAGAGAAAGAGGGGAAAGATTAAAGAAGTTATGCTTTATTTAGTTTGAAGAAGTTTTTATCTAGGTTTAATGATATTTCAAGTCTTGTTTGCCTTTTGATTTACTATAAAATATAAATTATCTATTTATACACTCTCAGGAGGGAAAATTAAAGAAGTTATATTTATTTAGTTTGAAGAAGTTTTTTTTTAAGTCTCTTTTACCATTTAAATTACTATAAAATATACATTTTCTATAAATACACTCTCTTCTTAAAGAAACCCATTTATATTTAATATATAAAATACCCTTTCAAGTAAAAGGAAAACCCCCAGAGTCCATACTTTTGGTAGGGTAACCTTTGGTTACCGCTTTTCTTTTTTTTTTTTTTTTTTTGGTAGGCGAGTGAGGGGATAAAACAAGGTTCATTTGTGGACCTTTCAGTGCAGGGCCGTGCCATGCCATGCAGTTCATCTCGTCCAGAGGAGTCCCTCGTCCGTAGTCCGTGCCCAGCCATATGGGGAAAGCTTGAACTGAACTCTGGAAAGGAACTTGGCTTATGGCAAACAGACCGACACCGCTGGCAACAACAAGGACAACACTGGGAGGCCATATCCATACATATAACACCAGGAGAGGAACACCAGGAGAGGAACAGCTCCACCACCAATGTCTGGGCCACGTTGGGCGCGTTGAACTTTTGATGCATGCGGGCCAAGTGACTGAAAAGGGCTAAAAAGAAAAAAAAATCCACAATAAAAGAACTGGCAAAAGGAAAAGAAAAGAAAAGCAGGCATAAAATAAATAAAATCAAAAGAGAAAGCCATACATAAAGCGGAACAAACGATGCTTCCAGTGTGTGGTACCAGGGAATACCCTGTAGAAGGAATGAGATTAAATAGAATCAGTTTAGATTAAACTCTTTATTAGGTTCTGTATTTATATAAGTTCTGTTCTGTTGCTTAGTTTAGTCCTGGAGAAATCCTGTTCCACTTAGATGCTGCGACGGCGGAGTTTGCGCATGCGCGCCTTTTCTATATCCTCTGGCGTTTCAGTTGCAAAATTGCGGAAGAACTTGGCCAGCTTGGGATTGTAGTCGCCGTTCAACTCCGGCTCCAGTGCCTCAACAAATTCCTCCGCTGCCTCAATACACTCCGCAATCTCGACATATTCCTCTTCATCGAAAATTTGCTCCTGCTGCTCTTCGGCAATAGCATAATAGTCATAGTCCTCGGTATCTAGATTTTCCAAATCTTTGAAAAGTTTCTCTTCCAATTCGCTGAAGCCCTGGCATTCCCTATCCATGGGTATGGGTCCAGTCACAAAGTCCCTGATCCACACGAGCAATGAGCCCAGAGTGGCGCCCAAGAATACAGTTCCGATGGCCATCACGACATAGGATCCGCCATCGCTAAGACCGAACTGCTCCTCCAGGTACGCCTTGATGTCCTTGAGGGTGTGGGATAGCTTAGCGAAAAACCCCATAATGGACATGTTAATGGCATTGGGTTTCATCCAGTTGGACAGTGGTGGTGTGCCCTTCCACAGCTCCTTCTTCACATAATTGAATAAGGCGGCATCATAGACGGCACCGCGATACTGACGGAACTCGGCATCCTTGACATGAAAGATCGTTGGCACGGCGGTCACATAGAAGCGTCCACTGAGCGAGGGTGCAGTGGTTACATCCACTTTGGCCACCTTCACCGGGTCATCCGTGGCCATTTGGGCGAAAAGCTCCCAGGTGACAGCCAGATCCTTGCAGGCCTGGCACCACGGAGCAACGAATACGATCATCCACTCACCCTGCAGCATCTCCTGCCAATTCTCCTCGTTCAGCTCAATCAGCTGGCCATCGAGATGCAGTTCATCCTGATCCGTCGCCGGCTCCGCTGACACCAACAGCAGAACCAGCACGACAAGGTGTGATTTCCAAATCATTTTTAGTCTTAGTTTCTTGCTTTCCGTTCGATTTTGTAATTTTAGTTTAGAAATTTGTGACCTTCCAGACTGCTCTCTCCTACAATTGTAGTTTTTGGGTTTCAGTTTTCCTATTGACTTTTTAAAGCAAAAGTCAAGGCTTACTAGGATACTTTAGGGTTTCGATATTCATTGGTGCGATAAATTAATGGGAAAAGGGTTTAGAGATGGCAGAAAATATTGCTATATCGATATTGACGGGAAAGTTAATCTATATTCTGTTTGATATAGCAAAATAATTTTATCGGAAAACCAAAACTTGTTTGTTAATATAGATTAATATTAAATGCGATACGTTTTAACAGTTTCAAATTCGTTATATCAACATTTATGATATTTTCAATAAATTATAAATAATAGTAAATTATAAACAATGAAAACCGATAAACAAGAAAGCAAACTAACTTAAGAAAACAAAAGTATTTATAACCTTGCAGTTTGCAATTGAATTATAGAATCGTATCAGAAATCGATCATAACTTAGTGTAAATTATTTGCATTTTTGAAACGATATTTAAATATAGTTTTATATGGCAATTTTTTCGACAAATCAAAGTTTTAAAAAACTCATAACTTGGCCAATAATTATTTAAATTCAATTCGGAAAGCTTTCCGTGTAAGTTTTTATTAGAATAATAAATCTGCATACGCAGTTTAAATTGTTTAAAAATTCAAATATTTTGACAAATTAAACGGAGAAAATTTTTTGAAGAAATTGTAAAATTGTAGAAAATTTTCTGTTAAAAAGATTCGGCTGTTGATGATGATCAAGAAAATATATATGCATTATAGGGTCGGAAATGACTCTTTTACAGCTTTTGAGGCTTCTGACTATTATTATTATTGTATTACCATTTTTTAACTGACATTTATCTATATTTTTATATGCAATATTTTCGACTCATCAAAGCCTAAAAACCTCATAACTAAGCCAAAAATCGATTAATTTCAATTCGGAAAGCTTTCCTGTGTTAGTTTTTAATAGATTAATAAATCTGCATACTCAGTTTAAAATGCGAAAAAATCATTTTTTCCCCCCAAATTTTGACAATTTTAACTATGTAAAAAATAAAAATTTTATGAAAAATTTTTTTTTTCTGCCGGAGATAGCTAGAAAGATTCTTCTGTTGATGCTGATCAATAATATATATGATTTATAGGGTCGGAAATGACTCATTCATGAGTTACAAGCTTCAGACTAAAATGAAAATACTCTTAAAAAGTATAAACAAAATAAATAGACTAGAATATAGCAAACTTGTTCTATCGATACACATTGCTAGTTACGCTTTATCAAGAGGACTATCTATTTATCCTTATATGTTATGATCTTTATCTAGTCTTAAGTACTAAATGCTATAATACCGAGTGATTTTATGGAATGTTGTGTCTCTATATAAATATTATCCTATGTAACAGATGCATGAACTAGCTTGAAATATATTTCCTACTGTACTACTTCAGTTATCTCTATATTATATTTAGTATCTGTAGAGTAAGCATACCCCTTAATCTGTCCATATCCAGGGTAGCAGGGCACCACACCATACGGGCCTCGTGTGTCATTTTTGGGGCTTTAAACTTCATTTCCCACCTTCCCCCTGGCTTAAGGGAGTGCAGACCAGAAGCTTTCCGTGGCTGTGGAAAACTGAGGCGGGTCTCGTCTGTGGGGATTTTGGAGGGCAATAAAAGTGGGCGTGGCAAAATGCCGCGAGGGGCGAGAGGCGGCTGTCGCGACTTGTCATTGCCACGACTTGCGGTCGGTGGCCACGCTCGTTTAATCCGCATTGCCGTGTTGTTAATGTGTTTTCCCCCCAGATTCCCCTCTCTTGGTATTATTTTTCTTATTTCTTATTTTCCATTTTCCTACGTTTTTCTTACCCCGCAGTGCGGACACAAATCATCCAGCCGCCGGTGGACACAACGGTGCTGCTCGGGCTAACGGCCACGCTGCAATGCAAGGTGTCCAGCGATCCCAGTGTACCGTACAACATCGACTGGTACCGCCAAGGACAGGCATCGCCCATCAGCAACTCCCAGCGCGTCGGTGTCCAGGCCGATGGCCAACTGGAGATCCAGGCGGTCCGGGCCAGCGATGTTGGGAGCTATGCGTGTGTGGTCACCTCGCCGGGAGGCAATGAGACGCGGGCAGCCCGGCTCAGCGTCATCGAGCTCCCGTTCCCGCCGAGCAATGTGAAGGTGCAGCGATTGCCGGAGCCGCAGCAGCGCAGCATCAATGTGTCCTGGACGCCGGGATTCGATGGCAACAGTCCAATATCCAAATTTATTATCCAGCGACGTGAGGTCTCCGAATTGGGTAAGTTTACTGTTCCTGGTTACTTTTATCTGCTGGCTATATATGCCGGCTCTATATGCATATAGCATAAATATATTTCTACATATTTTGGTAGCGTAGTTTTGTGGGTTGCGGTGGTTTTGGTTTATACTGGATTTATGATTTATTTAACGGGGAGCACAGTGGGTGCAAGTATACACGGTTGGCAATTTAAGGAACCGAAGAATAAGGATAGCTTCTCAAGGATTATGTAGACCTTGAAACTCGGGGAGAAGTAAGCCAAATCGATGAGTAATTTAAAAGCAATAGAGTCTTACTTGAGTAATAACGAATTACCATACATATTTCCGTGATTTCCTAAAAGAAGGTTTTAATTTTTTACATAACAGCTCAAGATCAAGATCCTTTAAGATCTATATTATTTTAGTTAAAGTAGCCACATTTTGGGGATTACATTTCAGTTAACAACAGAACCAAAAACACAATCACAAGAGAAGCCAAGATTTTGATGCGTTTCTTTTGTTCTCTCTTTTTCTTCCATTTAATTTACATTGTTTTTGAATACACCAACATACTACACCAATACCAAAACTGGATCGGACCGAAACGTACCAATACGAACTGTAAATTTATATTAATTCTATTTTATATATGTATATTGCCTTATGTATTAATGATCACATTTTTATTTGTTTTGTATTTTTACACATTCTTTGATTCATTTTTAATTTGTAATTTGTTGTTTTGTACTTTGATTTCATCGCGTTCACCTCAACATCACCAACACGGAACACGCTGTATTCTACATACTAATTCACCACAAAAAAAAAACTCCACTACTATTGTAAACTTTTCACCAACCATTCACAAATATTGTATACTTTTCTATTATTTTATTCACCAAAATTCACCACTATTAATGTATAATTTTCACCAACAATTCACTTATAACTCACCAATAACTCACCAAAACTTGTAATTTTTGATCACATTCCGCACTATCACCTATCTCCCACTCACAATTCAACCCCTCTCTCCCTCCTGCCTGCTGTTTTCTCCAACACATTAACATCACAGAAAAATTCGTAGGTCCAGTTCCAGACCCGCTCCTCAACTGGATCACCGAACTGAGCAATGTCTCAGCGGATCAACGTTGGATATTACTGGAGAACCTCAAGGCCGCCACCGTCTATCAGTTCCGGGTTAGTGCCGTGAATCGAGTGGGCGAGGGTTCGCCCTCGGAGCCCAGTAATGTGGTCGAGCTGCCCCAGGAAGGTGAGTACATGTGCCGTCGAGCATACCCTGCTTGTAGGATATTTTTGCAGCTCCTCATTATGTGTACTATTAGTATTGTATTGTTATTGTATTGTGTGTGTGCTTTGAGTTGAATTTTGAATTTATTTGAATATTTTGTGAATATTTCATTTGACTTTTGAACAAATAGAAAATCAGTAAAGAAGTATTGTAAGTTGCCTTTATATTTAAGCTTCTTTATTTTGTTTATAATAGTTTTATTTGAGATCTTTGATATGTTCAAAATTTAGTCAATCTTTTGGCTTTAAATAATTTGCTTTAGATTCGTTTTAATTTTGATTTCAAAGTAAGATGAATGTAATCTCATTCCATATAAATTATATTCCATAATAGTCCTGTATAGTGTAAAGAACTAATGCTAAATACCCTGTATGTATTGTACTCTTAACTGCTATCGTTGTCGTCACGAAATGAAATTCAAAATCGCCGTTGGTCCGCCGCTTGTGAAATGAAACAAACGCGCGTAGAGTTTCCGCTTCACCGAGGTATAAATATCTAGACACCCATCACACACAATATATATAAAATTAATTCCAAAACAAACAAAACTTTCCAAAAAATCCAGAGAGAAGTACAGACTCTCCAGAAAGCATCTCACTTTTACCTAATCACTAATAATGGATATATCCTTAATCCTGTTTAGCTCCCTCTGGTCCACCGGTGGGCTTTGTGGGCTCCGCTCGCTCCATGTCCGAGATCATTAGTCAGTGGCAACCGCCTCTGGAGGAGCATCGCAATGGCCAGATCCTGGGCTATATCCTACGATATCGCCTCTTTGGCTACAACAACGTACCCTGGTCGTATCAGAACATCACAAACGAGGCCCAGCGCAATTTTCTCATCCAGGAGCTGATCACCTGGAAGGATTATATCGTTCAGATAGCCGCCTACAACAACATGGGCGTCGGCGTTTACACCGAGGGATCCAAGATCAAGACCAAAGAGGGTGTACCCGAAGCACCGCCCACCAATGTCAAAGTGGAGGCCATTAACTCAACGGCGGCCCGTTGCAGCTGGACACCACCGAATCCGCAACAGATCAATGGCATCAATCAGGGCTACAAGATCCAGGCCTGGCAGAGTCGCCTGGTCGATGGAGAGTGGCGGGACTTTGAGAAGCGAATGATGACCGTGCCGCCGAGTTTGATTGATCCGCTGGCAGAGCAGACGACCATATTGGGTGGTCTGGAGAAGTACACCGAGTACAACATCAGTGTGTTGTGCTTCACGGATCCCGGCGATGGAGTGGCCAGCGTTCAGGTGCCAGTGATGACTCTAGACGATGTCCCCGATGAGGTGACGGCTCTGCACTTTGACGATGTCTCCGATCGTTCGGTTAAGGTGCTCTGGGCACCGCCACGTTCCGCCAACGGCATCCTCACTGGTTATACGGTTCGCTACCAGGTCAAGGATCGACCTGACACTCTCAAAACATTCAATCTGACCGCCGATGATACGGAGTTGACGGTGAATCAATTGCAGGCCACAACGCACTATTGGTTCGAGATCTTTGCCTGGACCCGAGTGGGAAGTGGCACACCCAAAACGGCAACCATTCAATCCGGCGTGGAACCTGTCCTGCCACATGCACCCACCAACCTGGCTTTGTCCAATATCGAAGCCTTCTCCGTGGTGTTGCAATTCACGCCCGGCTTTGATGGCAATTCGAGCATCACCAAATGGAAGGTGGAGGGTCAGACCGCGAGGAACATGACATGGTTCACCATTTGTGAGATTAGTGACCCGGATGCGGAGACTCTCACAGTGACCGGTCTGATGCCATTCACTCAGTACCGACTGCGACTGAGTGCCACCAATGTGGTGGGCAGTTCCCGACCCTCAGAGGCCACCAAGGACTTCCAAACGATCCAGGCCAGGCCCAGGCATGCTCCTTTCAATGTCACCGTTCGGGCAATGAGTGCCCAGCAGCTGCGAGTTCGATGGATTCCGCTGCAGCAGACCGAGTGGTATGGCAATCCCAGAGGCTACAATATCTCGTACAAGCAGCTGGAGAAGACACCGGGCACCATCAAGGGTGTGCCACGTTCGGTGGTGATTGAGGATCACACGGCCAACTCGCATGTGCTGGAGGGTCTCGAGGAGTGGACCGTGTACGAGGTACAGATGAATGCCTGCAACGATGTGGGTTGCTCCAAGGAGAGCGGCACGGCGGTGGAAAGGACACGCGAGGCGACGCCCAGCTATGGCCCGTTGGATGTCCAGGCGAATGCCACCTCATCCACCACGGTGGTGGTGCGTTGGGGCGAGGTTCCACGGCAGCATCGCAACGGACAGATCGATGGCTACAAGGTGTTCTATGCCGCCGCCGATCGTGGCCAGCAGGTGCTGCACAAGACGATACCCAGCAATGCCTCGTTCACCACCACGCTCACGGAACTCAAGAAATTCGTGGTTTACCATGTCCAGGTGCTGGCCTACACCAGGCTGGGTAATGGTGCTCTCAGTACGCCACCCATCCGAGTGCAGACCTTTGAGGATACCCCGGGAGTTCCCTCGAATGTGAGCTTCCCGGATGTCACGCTCTCGATGGCTCGCATCATCTGGGACGTGCCCGTGGATCCCAATGGTGAGATTCTGGCCTATCAGGTGACCTACACCCTGAACGGCAGCGCCATGCTGAACTACAGCCGTGAGTTTCCGCCCTCGGATCGCACTTTCCGGGCCACCAGTTTGCTTCCGGAGAAGTACTACAGCTTCAGTGTGACAGCCCAGACGCGCCTTGGTTGGGGCAAGACGGCCACCGCCTTGGTCTACACAACAAACAACCGGGAGCGTCCGCAGCCGCCATCAGTGCCGCAGGTGTCACGCAGCCAGATCCAGGCGCATCAGATCACCTTCAACTGGACACCAGGACGGGATGGATTCGCTCCGCTGCGCTACTACACCGTGGAGATGCGGGAGAACGAGGGCAGGTGGCAACCGCTGCCGGAGCGAGTGGATCCGCTGCTCAGTTCGTACACGGCGCTCGGTTTGAGGCCGCACACCACCTACCAGTTCCGTATTCAGGCCACCAATGACCTGGGACCCTCGGCCTTTAGCCGGGAGAGTGTGGTGGTTAGGACTCTGCCGGCAGCTCCAGCTGTGGGTGTGGGAGGCCTCAAGGTGGTCCCGATTACCACCACCTCGGTGCGTGTTCAGTGGAGTGCCCTGGAGACGGGCATGTGGAATGGTGATGCGGCAACCGGTGGCTACAGGATACTCTATCAACAGCTCTCCGATTTCCCCACTGCCCTGCAATCCACCCCGAAGACCGATGTTCATGGCATTAATGAGAACAGTGTGGTGCTATCGGATCTCCAGCAGGATCGCAACTATGAGATTGTTGTGCTGCCCTTCAATTCCCAGGGTCCGGGACCAGCCACGCCTCCGGCGGCTGTTTATGTGGGTGAGGCGGTGCCAACGGGGGAGCCCCGTGCCGTGGATGCTGCACCAATTTCCAGTACCGAAGTGCGATTGCTGTGGAAGCCACCGAAGCAGAGCATGCAGAATGGAGATATCCTCGGCTACAAGATCTTCTATCTGGTCACCTATTCGCCGCAGGCTCTGGAGCCTGGCCGGAAATGGGAGGAGGAGATCGAGGTGGTGTCGGCCACGGCCACATCGCACAGTCTTGTGTTCCTGGACAAGTTCACCGAGTATCGCATTCAGTTGCTGGCCTTCAACCCCGCCGGAGATGGCCCGCGCTCTGCTCCCATTACTGTGAAGACGCTGCCGGGTGTGCCAAGTGCTCCTCTGAACTTACGATTTGCGGACATTACGATGCAGAGCCTGGAGGTGTCTTGGGATGCTCCGAAATTCCTCAACGGCGAGATTCTTGGCTATCTGGTTACCTACGAGACCACCGAGGAGAATGAGAGTAAGTAGAGATTGATTAGGAAGCTTATTCCACCGATTCTTAATGAGATTTATTTCCCGAACAGAGTTCAGCAAGCAGGTGAAGCAGAAGGTGTCCAATACCACACTCCGTGTCCTGAATCTAGAGGAGGAGGTCACCTACACATTCACTGTACGCGCCCAAACAACCGTGGACTATGGTCCGGGAATTAGTGAGAATGTGACCACAGGACCCCAGGACGGTTCCCCGGTGGCGCCACGTGATCTCATCTTAACCAAGACGCTCTCCAGCGTCGAGATGCACTGGATCAATGGACCCTCGGGTCGGGGTCCCATTCTGGGCTACCTCATCGAGGCGAAGAAGCGAGGTAAGTCCAGTCTAGATCAGTTTAGCTTGGAATATGGATCTTGGTCTTGGTTGCCATTTACTTACCATAATGTCTCTGCACATCTTTTCTCTCTCTCCTCCTATATTGCCTTCGATTACTCCTCTTTGGTGGCTTGGTTCTAAAATTACCAATCAAATCTTTTCCGATAATCATTAAAAATATTATCTTTTTGAAATGCTTGCGTAGAAAAAGGAGAGCCATCATTTGTTTGTAAGTATCGATGTCCCGTAGAAAGTAGTATGTAAGAGCTATCTTAACAGAACTTCCACTTGAACATAACTAAAACATATTTAGAACCCTATAATATAGTATCCTCATTCCCTAACCTAAAGCAAATTCATAACTTAATGAGACTTATTAATAAGAAGGGTCTTTAACCCATCTCTTATTTAATAAGTATTTTTATACCCTTGCAAAAGTAACTTTAATCAGAAGCTTAAAACAAACTGAAGGAGTCATTTCCGACCCTATAAATCATATATTTTCTTGATCAGCACAAAAAGCCGAGTCGATCTGGCTATGTCCGTTTAAAATTTAATTTTTTCAAAATTTTGAAAATTTTATAAGGGGTAACATCATTAAAATTTAAAAAAAAAATTAAATTTTTAAACATTTTGAACTGAGTATGCAGATTTATTAACCTATAAAAAACTAACATAGGAAAGCTTTCCGTAGTGAAATTAATGCATTTTTGACTGAGTTATGGTGAATTTTCTATGCAAGGGTATGGAATTGTTTAATTTCTCATAGTTTGCTTCCCTTTCTGTTCTTTATAATTTACTTTGTAGTGATCTTAACTTTGAATTAAGAACTAAACACTTTGTTTTCCTTCGTTTTGAACAAGATTTAAGTTTCTCAGTTGAGTTATAACCCTCTAACTTATTTTTAATGAAACTTTCATTAAGAGAGAATCAGTATAAGTATGTCTCTCACTCTCCTTTAATAACCTTTTATAGAGAGGTACTTTGTTGATTCTGTCTCTTAGCGCTCTTTCAATAACCCTTTACATAGAGCATTTACTTATTTACCTATTCTCTCAACGGAAACCTAACAATATATATTCCTTTTCCTCCCAAAAATCACAGACGACTCCCGTTGGACAAAAATCGAGCAAACAAAGAAGGGAATGATGCAGGACTTTACGGTCAGCTACCATATCCTGATGCCCTCCACAGCGTACACGTTCCGTGTGATTGCCTACAATCGGTACGGCATCTCGTTTCCGGTGTACTCCAAGGACTCCATTCTGACGCCCTCGAAACTGCACCTGGAATATGGTTACCTGCAGCACAAACCCTTCTACCGACAGACCTGGTTCATGGTCTCCCTGGCGGCCACCTCGATTGTGATCATTGTGATGGTCATTGCCGTTCTGTGTGTCAAGAGCAAGAGCTACAAATACAAACGTGAGTGAAAATCTAAACCATATAATTATCCTAAACTAATTGAAATCCATTTCCTACTGAAACAGAGGAGGCACAAAAAACGCTGGAGGAATCCATGGCCATGTCGATTGATGAGCGCCAGGAGCTGGCCTTGGAGCTGTATCGCTCTCGGCACGGCGTCGGCACTGGTACATTGAACAGTGTGGGAACTCTGCGCAGCGGCACCTTGGGAACTCTGGGCAGAAAGTCCACCAATCGTCCGCCACCGGGTGTCCAGCTGGGCAAGAGTCCGCCACGTCCCTCGCCCGCCTCGGTGGCATATCACAGCGATGAGGAGAGCCTCAAGTGCTACGACGAGAATCCGGACGATAGCAGCGTGACCGAGAAGCCATCGGAGGTCAGCAGCTCGGAGGCATCGCAGGTGGGTTTTAAGGTGGGAAAAAAATGAGACATAGATCCGAGAGGTTTTGTAAGCAAACACAATCGAATCGAATAATTCGAGAGAAATATATGCCAGGCATTAAAGCGCTGAACACGAGACTGGGCATACTCGGAAATCTTCAGCAGGCATAGCTATTTTTCATTGATTATGATTTTGATTCGATTATGATTTGATTTTTACAGTGATTTCGATTTTTAAATGTGATTTATATATGATTTCGTAAAGGATTTTATTTATATTTAATTTGAGTTGCAAAACCCCTTTGTTTGTCTCATTTTTATTTAAGAAAATGCTAAAATGCTGTTGCGATTCCATGGCCAGATTCGAGTTTAGTGCGCAAATATATTGGAAAGTATAAATAATGATCCCCCAATATATTTGCCATTACGAGTGTGTTTCTGGCATATGTGCGTGTTGCACTTACATGATCGCTTTCCCGAATCCAAGTTCGCTTTACTCATTTCCATTTTTTCTTTGCAGCACTCGGAAAGCGAGAACGAGAGCGTGCGCAGCGATCCACATTCATTTGTGAATCACTACGCAAACGTGAATGACTCGCTGCGGCAGTCGTGGAAGAAAACCAAGCCGGTGAGGAACTACTCCAGCTACACCGACTCAGAGCCGGAGGGCAGTGCAGTGATGAGCCTCAATGGTGGCCAAATTATCGTCAATAATATGGCCAGATCGAGGGCACCGCTGCCCGGCTTCTCATCGTTCGTCTGACAATCAACTGAGTTCTAAGATCTAAGCACCAGTAGCAGCGGCACCGTCATCCGGGAGACCTTTGTGTAGAAGGCAGGAATGATTAAATGGAACATCCGGACGAACCGGATTGGGAGAAGGAGCTGGAGGCGGCTGGCGAGGATGGGGATGATGAAGATGAGGATTTGGAGCAGGAGCAGGAGCAGGAGGGAGCACCGCTTAGCTCTCACATATCAGTAAGGACCTCATCAGCCCCTCCAGCTCTCCGACGATGCGCTGCTACAGGGATACAACATATAAATATTACTATATATATATATATATTTATATATATATATATTCAGACATTTACGTTTAGTTTTAGTTACTAGTTAGTTACGAGAGATCTGAGATTTGCGAGCATTTAGTTTATAGGTTTTAGCATGTTTTTTTTTTACTCTGTGTGTGTTTTTTCTGACTGCTCTCTCCTATATTTTGTGTGTAATTTTAGTATTTATTTATGGCATGTGTGTGTGACCTGCCACGCCTCCAAAACAATGGCATTTATCGGTAGGGGGCGGCGATTGTGAATAGAGAGAGCTTGATAAAGAGAGAAAGAGAGAGAGGGAGTCCTGTGATAAAGCAATGGCCGCCCGATACAGAAAGTTCTTACAACTGATTTCCAAGTGTGTTCATGGCGTGGCAGGCGGACAGGCAGGCAGGCAGGACTTTTGAGTGAATGTGAATGATCTTGAGCGTTTAGTCTGGCGCAATCTCATTATATTTAAAGAACAAAAAGGACGACTCGCGTATGTTTATTATTATTAATAATCTATATATATTTTTTTTTGCGAGAAAAACTAGTAAATCTAGAGGCAGATGAGAATAACGATAGCGATAAACGAGACAGCAGCCGATGCAATCGGTGGGCTCAACGAAGAAAACCCCAAGGAAAATAGAGAGTTCAAGGGAAACGAAGGTATACCAGCAGTATGCAAACGAGAAAAGAAAACACAAAAATCATATCTTGTAAGCAAAAAAAAGATAAATGTATTGTATTTTTTTTTTCTTTTGGGAAAGACTAACTACAGATGAGGGGAAGGAGAAGAAGAGCGCTGACAAAGAGGGGAATGAGAAGGCATATAGGATACACATATTCAGATAGATTGATAGGCCATATTAATGCAATTTTCTTTACCACATAAGCCACGACAAACAAACAAACAAACAAACAAACGTAAGCAACTGTAACACACACACAAAGCGAGAGATAAGGCAGGAGGAGAGATGGTTTTTGGAGCGCATGCGCAGCGGACTCTAGCACTAGGTACGATCAGTACGATCTTGGTAGCATGTAAGAGGCATTTTTTTTATTGTCAGTTTTGGGAACAGTTCCCGTGGTACTCGTAAGCGCGTAACTCTTTGATCGTTCAACCCGCGTCGCATCGCGTATGTGTAATTGTAACTGTAATGGTAATTGTAATTGTAATGGTAATTGTAATTGTACTTGTACTTGCATATATTTATGACTATATTTATATATCGATGTATTGTACATGTATATCTAAAACTTAAACGACTGATTATATATTTTCCCCCTCAATTAGTTGTATACTACCATATGTACTACTTAATGCCCTTGTTTGTACGACCTATGCATTAACTACGTTTAGACAAAACTTTGGCGCCCCACAATAACAACAACAAAATAAACCCCCGAAGAATCAGCGTGCAAGAACCGAAGGAGCTTTCCGCTTTTCCTCAAAAGTCCCCCGAAAACCCAAACACAAAAAGAAAGCAAGCTAATTTCTACTTCAAAGACTCGAAGCACAAGTTCATCCTAGTTAAGTAAATGTAATTGTAATTGTTGATTGATGATCGGATCGGCAGAAGTGAAGCTAGAGGAGCGAGCAGCTGAGACGGCGGAGCTCAAGCCGATGGCAGTGACGGAGGTCGGAACTTGGCTCGGGGATAGTTGAAATCGTGCAGAAGGCGCAAAGTATTAGAATATTTATAAAAACAATTTAAATGTGTAAATGTAATTGATGGAACATACGAATATGAATAAATAAAAGAAAGTGAAATCAATGTGGAAGTGTTTCCAGGAAGCGGCATTCATTCGAGGTCTTCGGATGGACGTCATCACGCGATGGATGGATGGACTAGAGAGTGCAAGTAATTAGGTAAATATCTCTAGATGGACATCGAAAGGCTTGCATTGCATTATTATTTCAGTTAGAAGTTAAAATTGTAAAAATTAAAAAAAAAATTGAGTATGCAGATTGATTAACCTAATAAAAACTAACATAGAACCGTTTTCAGAATTCAAATTAAAGCATTTTTGGCTGAGTTATGAGCTATTTAAATTTTGAGTTGTACAGGGTTGTTGTTGTGAAAGGACGTTATTGTTTTTGTTGTTGTTGTCGTCATTCTGGTTTTTTCTCGTTTTTGTTGTTGTTGTTGTTTTTGTTGTTGTTGTTGTTGTTGTTGTTGTTGTTGTTGTTGTTGTTGTATATAGTGCGCAAATCGTGCGGTTGTGTGTTGTACATACTGTGAAATCGTGCGGTTGTGTGTTGCCAAGCCAAGCCTTCGATGTGCTCGGTGTCACTTAAAATTCGACCTGAAATACCAGGCGAACAGAAGGCAGCAGCAAGCAAATTTAATTTTCTGCAAAATCATTTTTCACCCTAAAAGCATGCTACACCGCACCCTAGAAGTATGCAATGCCAAAAATATGCCGAAGTATGCAATTGAAAAAAAGTGCAGCATACTTCTAGGGTGCGGTGTAGCATGCTTTTAGGGTGAAAAATGATTTTGCAGAAAATTAAATTTGCTTGCTGCTGCCTTCTGTTCGCCTGGTATTTCAGGTCGAATTTTAAGTGACACCGAGCACATCGAAGGCTTGGCTTGGCAACACACAACCGCACGATTTCACAGTATGTACAACACACAACCGCACGATTTGCACACTATGTACAACAACAACAACAACCCACATTACAACAACAACAACAACAACAACAACAACAACAACAAAAACAACAACAACAACAACAAAAACAACAACAAAAACAACAACAAAAACAACAACAAAAACAAGAAAAAAACCAGAATGAGGACAACAACAACAAAAACAATAACGTCCTTTCACAACAACAACCCTGTACAACTCAAAATTTAAATAGCTCATAACTCAGCCAAAAATGCATTAATTTGAATTCTGAAAACGGTTCTATGTTAGTTTTCATTAGGTTAATCAATCTGCATACTCATTTTTTTTTTTTTTTAATTTTTAAAATTTTAGCTTCTAACTGAAATAATAATGCACTGCAAGCCCAACAAAAGCAATATTAAATGGATTTCCATCGAAATCGGCTGTGACCAGCTCATTTTTCACTACTTTTGAAATAGGTGAGACCTTTTTTTCGGTTCTTTTAGTTCTTCAAATAATGTATGACCCAGAACCTTCCCAGCCCCCCATCCCCATGAAAACTAAAAAAAAGTAATTTTTCAGGTTCTTTATTTATTTCCGCTTTTAATAAATAAGAGAAAAAAAAGGGTGACAAAAATCAGTCGAGGAGGCGTGTGTCTTAATACTATAGAGGCTGTGGCTGTGACTTGGACTGCTAATTCGATTGAAGCCCCTAGACAGGACTGTCTGAGGTCGTCTCCAGCGGTTCCGGTTCGGTCTTAGTGGCACCATCCTCTTGCTGGCCTGGTTCCTGGTCCTGCTCCTGGTCCTCCTCCTCCTGATCCTCCTCGCCATCGCTCTCCGTCTCGCCATCGGCATCCGCTTCCAGTTCCTGGCTGTGTCTCTCAATGTGACGAGCCGCCGGCTGCGATTCGGACGAGGGAGAGGTGACGACGGCGGCCAGCGGAGGCGCTGTGGCTGCTGCTGCTTGGGGAGAAGCGGCCGAGACGACACTGGGCACACTGATGGGACACATGCAGGGCACGAATTGGATGCGAGTGCCACTGGTTCCCTGTTCCGCTGCCGCCGCGGCTGCCGCTGCCGCCATCATATTTTGCGGCGCCTGGTAGTTAAAGTAGTCCGGATATGGATATTGGGGCCGGGCGTTGTACAGGTTGCTCACCCGCCGGCTGTAGGTGGGGTATTCCCCGTAGCGCAGCAAGCTGGATCCCGAGGCTGACGAGGATCCCTCGGAGAAGCTCGTAGCTTGGTGCTGCTGTGCAGGAGGAGGCGACGGTGGCGGTGGTGTGGTAGTGCTCGTAGTTGTTGTCGTGGTCGGTGCCGGCGTGGTGGTCGTTGTAGTCGTCGTCGTTGTTGTCGTGGGCGCAGGAGTGGTGGTAGTGGTAGTACTGGTGCTCGGGGCGGCACTGCCCAATCCCGCTACCATCGCCACCGGAGGAGTAACGTCCGGCCGAGAGGCTGTGTCATGCCGCCGAGCAGCCGCATAGCTGGTCAGCGCATACGGATCGTACTGGGGGCCAGGGAGCAGGGGCGTCTGTGCCGCTCCAAAGCCAAAGAAGGGCAGGCTGAAGGGACCGCCGGGCGCCAGAGGCTGGTATGTGTAGGTGCGGAAGTAGGTGAGCGGGATCTGTTGTAGCACTTGGCCACCGCCGGGGGATTCCCTATGGAATAATAGATAAAGTTTATTACTGGATTCCGAACCTGTCTGGTTCTAACACTTACGTCGTTGTCTTGGGCCACCAGAAGGCATTGGAGAGCTCGGAGCTAGCCAGGATAGCTGTGATCTGGAACGGATAGAAGGAGATTCACATGAGTTTGGAATAGAATTAAGTATCTTATGAATAATTATAATTTTAGTCAGACGCTTGTAATACAGTGAATGAGTCAATTCCGACCCTATAAATCATAAATATTATTGATCAGCATCAAAAGAAGAATCAATCTAGCTATGTTAGGGAAAAAAAGAACATTTTCCAAATTTTTTCAAAATTTCAAAAATAGATAAGGGGTAAATTGAATTTTCTGAATTGTAAAACGCAATATGCAGTTTTGTTAGCCGTATAAAAACTAGAACAGAAATAATTTCCGAATTGAAATTAATGCATTTTTGGCTGACTTATGACATTTGAAAAACTTAGATTTACCCAAAAAATAGCATATAAAATTATCGATTTAAAAACCTAAAAACTTATTTTTATATTTTTTTTTGCATCACGGAAATTAAGATCAATTCATTTTGAATTAGCAATATTGCATATCCTTATTAAATCTTGTTGTTACTTTTGTATTATATTTAATTAGCAACACATCTTGCCAAATGTTTAGAATACATTTGCTTGCTTTTTTGTATCACTATCTAATCCACTTGAGTTTGTTATCCTTTTGTCCTTTTATCCTTTGATCACATACCACAAAATATAGCCACATGTTTGATGCACTTTGCTTGGGTTAAACAATTAAAAAATAGCACAAAAAATAATAGTTTTAAGAAGAAAACGATGAGTTCTTCCTGTCTTTCACAACCTCGAACCGTTCGCGATCGCTGTTGTCTTTGTTCTAAGCCCAAAAAGAGTCGCGGTCCGAGCTTTTATAGCCGAAAAAATAAACGGAGCTGATGGCATTGGGAGTGGGAATGAAGATGGAAGTGGTTAGGGGAAGCTGGGTATGGGGGAGGGGATCGATTGTGTGGCCCAGCAGCGGGGACTGCCCCACAGCAAATGCTGGCCAGAACAGACAAGCCGCCTTTTGCCGCCACCAAGCTGGTTTTCCCGCAGACGAGCGGTGGAAAATGCTTGTAAGAACAACGAGAAAATTAATTGCAGGCTGCAGAGCGAAAACTAAGCTGGGAAATCAATAATAATAATGAACGTGGAACGTGGAACGCCGCCGCAGCATCATTGACAAAGTGATTGAATGAATGATGGAGCCAATGATGTGGCCCCGAGGAGGAGGATGAGATGGACATGGAGTGTGAGGCAAGGAGTGTGAGGCATGGGGCATGGGGCATGGGGCATGGGGCATGAAAGGGCCGCATCCATGGCCCTTTCGATTGGCCATAAAAATTTGTTGATGACTCTGACTGTTGTGTTGTTTGTGTTGTTTTCCGCCTCGCTTTTTAACACATTGAAATTTTGTTTTCCTTTTTGATTCTGATATTGGGATTTGGTGTTGGGTTCTCTGGGTTCTGGAATTTGGGTCAGTTGACGCCTCCAGCTCATCCCCTCGGTTCGTCGCGGTTTGATTTGCACGCTGCTGTTGCTCTCGTCGATGTTGCTGATGCTGATGCTGCTGCTGCTGATGGGTTATGCAACTCAATAGAGTCCAGAGGGAGAATGTCGACCCTATTATCCACTTTCCAATTTACGACTCCCTTTCAGAGGCCGGGTTTTCTTTGGGCCTAGTGTCCGCCAGGAATTTATGGCTGCCCTTTATGTGTTTATTGCTTGTAAAACTGTTTTCAAACTGAATCCCATCACAATCTAAACTGTCTCATGAACAGATAGCCTTTCCTTTATCTATTTATTCGTACTGACTGTCTTATGGGGAGGCGTTAATGATCATCGCCGGATCACCGCTGTCATAATTATATTCTTTTAATGGATAATTTCGACTTTTTTACTACCTACTTTCGATTATTTATCTATGGTTTATCATTGCTTATTACATATAGTGCAGGGTATTGTCTTCTAGATTCTTGATTCTTTAACAGCATATTGAAAGAATTTCACCAATTATCGGCATTTTTGTATGATAATTTTTCCTAAATACATCAATATTTAAAATCATCATAACTTTGCTAATATATAATTAATTTCAATTCGGAAACATTGCCTATGTCAGTTTTTTATGGGTTAGTGATTTATAGGGTCGGAAATGACTCCTTCACCTTCTTTTAAGCTTCTGACTGAAGGTGCATTACCATTTTTTAACCGATTTTAACTATATTTTTATAGCAAATTTTTCGACAAATCAAAATTTAAAAATCCCATAACTCAGCCAAAAACGCATTAATTTTAATTCGGAAAGCGGCAGTATGTTAATTTTTAGCAGGTTAACAAAACTGCATACTCCATTTAAAATGTTAATTTTTGGCCGATTTTTGCAAATTTTCATGATGTAACCCCTTTCCTTTTTTCCGAAAAATGGGAAATTTGTGAAAAATTTTTTTTCGGCCGGATAAAGCTAGAAAGAAAGGCCTGTAGATGCTGATCAAGAATATATATGATTTATGGGGTCGGAAATGGCTCCTTCACTTATTTTTAAGCTTCTGACTGAAGGTCCATTACCATTTTTATACCTATATTAACAATATTTTTAGATGCAATTTTTCGACAAATCAAAATTTAAAAATCTCAATACTAGGCCAAATACGCATTAATTTGAATTCGGAAAGCGGCAGTATGTTAATTTTTAGCAGGTTAACAAAACTGCATACTCCATTTAAAATGTTAATTTTTGGCCGATTTTTGCAAATTTTCATGATGTAACCCCTTTCCTTTTTTCCGAAAAATGGGAAATTTCTGAAAAAAAATTTTTTCGGCCGGATAAAGCTAGAAAGAAAGGCCTGTAGATGCTGATCAAGAATATATATGATTTATGGGGTCGGAAATGGCTCCTTCACTTATTTTTAAGCTTCTGACTGAAGGTCCATTACCATTTTTATACCTATATTAACAATATTTTTAGATGCAATTTTCGACAAATCAAAATTTAAAAATCTCAATACTAGGCCAAATACGCATTAATTTGAATTCGGAAAGCGGCAGTATGTTAATTTTTAGCAGGTTAACAAAACTGCATACTCCATTTATAATGTGAATTTTTGGCCGATTTTTGCAAATTTTCATGATGTAACCCCTTTCCTTTTTTCCGAAAAATGGGAAATTTGTGAAAATTTTTTTTCGGCCGGATAAAGCTAGAAAGAAAGGCCTGTAGATGCTGATCAAGAATATATATGATTTATGGGGTCGGAAATGGCTCCTTCACTTATTTTTAAGCTTCTGACTGAAGGTCCATTACCATTTTTATACCTATATTAACAATATTTTTATATGAAATTTTTCGACAAATCAAAATTTAAAAATCTCAAAACTAGGCCAAATACGCATTAATTTTAATTCGGAAAGCGGTAGTATGTTAATTTTTAGCAGGTTAACAAAACTGCATACTCCATTTATAATGTGAATTTTTGGCCGATTTTTGCAAATTTTCATGATGTAACCCCTTTCCTTTTTTCCGAAAAATGGGAAATTTGTGAAAATTTTTTTTCGGCCGGATAAAGCTAGAAAGAAAGGCCTGTAGATGGTGATCAAGAATATATATGATTTATGGGGTCGGAAATGGCTCCTTCACTTATTTTTAAGCTTCTGACTGAAGGTCCATTACCATTTTTATACCTATATTAACAATATTTTTATATGAAATTTTTCGACAAATCAAAATTTAAAAATCTCAAAACTAGGCCAAATACGCATTAATTTTAATTCGGAAAGCGGCAGTATGTTAATTTTAGCAGGTTAACAAAACTGCATACTCCATTTAAAATGTTAATTTTTGGCCGATTTTTGCAAATTTTCATGATGTAACCCCTTTCCTTTTTTCCGAAAAATGGGAAATTTGTGAAAAAATTTTTTTTCGGCCGGATAAAGCTAAAAAGAAAGGCCTGTAGATGCTGATCAAGAATATATATGATTTATGGGGTCGGAAATGGCTCCTTCACTTATTTTTAAGCTTCTGACTGAAGGTCCATTACCATTTTTATACCTATATTAACAATATTTTTATATGAAATTTTTCGACAAATCAAAATTTAAAAATCTCAATACTAGGCCAAATACGCATTAATTTTAATTCGGAAAGCGGCAGTATGTTAATTTTTAGCAGGTTAACAAAACTGCATACTCCATTTATAATGTGAATTTTTGGCCGATTTTTGCAAATTTTCATGATGTAACCCCTTTCCTTTTTTCCGAAAAATGGGAAATTTGTGAAAAAATTTTTTTTCGGCCGGATAAAGCTAGAAAGAAAGGCCTGTAGATGCTGATCAAGAATATATATGATTTATGGGGTCGGAAATGGCTCCTTCACTTATTTTTAAGCTTCTGACTGAAGGTCCATTACCATTTTTATACCTATATTAACAATATTTTTATATGAAATTTTTCGACAAATCAAAATTTAAAAATCTCAAAACTAGGCCAAATACGCATTAATTTTAATTCGGAAAGCGGTAGTATGTTAATTTTTAGCAGGTTAACAAAACTGCATACTCCATTTATAATGTGAATTTTTGGCAGATTTTTGCAAATTTTCATGATGTAACCCCTTTCCTTTTTTCCGAAAAATGGGAAATTTGTGAAAATTTTTTTTCGGCCGGATAAAGCTAGAAAGAAAGGCCTGTAGATGCTGATCAAGAATATATATGATTTATGGGGTCGGAAATGGCTCCTTCACTTATTTTTAAGCTTCTGACTGAAGGTCCATTACCATTTTTATACCCTATATTAACAATATTTTAGATGAAATTTTTCGACAAATCAAAATTTAAAAATCTCAAAACTAGGCCAAATACGCATTAATTTTAATTCGGAAAGCGGCAGTATGTTAATTTTTAGCAGGTTAACAAAACTGCATACTCCATTTATAGTGTGAATTTTTGGCCGATTTTTGCAAATTTTCATGATGTAACCCCTTTCCTTTTTTCCGAAAAATGGGAAATTTGTGAAAAAATTTTTTTTCGGCCGGATAAAGCTAGAAAGAAAGGCCTGTAGATGCTGATCAAGAATATATATGATTTATGGGGTCGGAAATG